AACAAGGTAACATCTTATGGTCAAACAGCCCAAGCAGAGTTCTCCGCCATGTAAGACCTCAATAGAAGGACATCACGAATGGTTAAAGGAAGCGAATATCCCACGACTGAGGACTATTCTCCATTTTACGCGTTTAGCTTTCGTTGTGAAGGATGTAGAACTATTGAAACAAGGGAAGGATGATGAGAATGATGAGTAAGTCAATAAGTAACCGAGGTTCCAACGGCAATTCAGGGTCATAATTACTGCTACCGAAGGAACACTGTCGAAAGTAGCAGTTCGACGATGTACAGTACATCGGCGAAATAGTGTCGAATTTGAAATCAGTTTACTCCCGGAATCGCAGGAGGGTCGGGAAGTTTGTTTGCATAAACTGATAATGTTCTGCTCATATGAAAAATACGCGAATATCGTTTCGCTCCAGTATCTGAACAAAACGTACATAATTCAAGTTTATGGGTTGAACAGCTTCTACAAATTGCATGATTCAGCCAGTAAAACAAAGACTTAAAATTCTGCGAAATTTAACAAACAAGATACGTGAAACAGTCGCAAGAAAGCAATTAGAAATCTGAACAGGATGAGATCAGATCGGAAAGATCACATGAGATTTTAAAAAAGAGTCAAGGACGACAATGTGACTTTCAAAATTGTGACCCTAGACGAATTTATGGCGTTGTGTTATGACTGGAGAAAAATGTCATGTGATAAAACAGTGGTAGAGAAACAGAGCGAACCGAACCCTTGTATTCGGTCGCTAAAGCCGGCTTTTTGAACATGGGCGAGGGAGAAGGGCTCACGGTCGTCAGTCGAAAGAGCGAATCGCCTAATCACCAAAAGTGCACCTCCCCACAGCAGAAAGACAAGGGTAGCGTGAGAAACACGATCGGAATGCACCGTCGGTAGAGCTGACCTGCTACGCGGAATCGAACGGGGGTCAAGTGTAGCGGTAGCGCAGTGACATGTCGTATCGAAACTCGTTACCACCGACACTGACGCAAGATTCAATCCTGTTAACCAACAGGCAACTGATGACTAATCTCATATGAGTTTCACTTTCGCTTCGAACCTGCTGCTGACAACACAGTTAATGAACACGGTGTTTCCTATGGATCGATAAGACGGATTTTACCATTGTGAAATTTGTCAAACAGCGTTTGCGAACCGAAGGTTTAACAGAGCCAGCCCGGAATAACTGATCTGCGACGGTGCCCCGTGAATGCCTAGATGCACATCCGCCTTACAGAGGGAAACGACGAAAGTATACATAAGCTGTGATTTCATATGTCCCCGATACCCAAGAAGGCCTGTCACGAACACGAATACGAAGCATTTGGCTAACGAGTTAGTGGCAATCAGAAATGAGACACTTTTATGATAGAGTTGGGCGAAACAATTTTTGGCTTTATACTTCACTTTACCAAGAACGTTATTTAGACCGTGGGCCTGATGAAATAACTGAGACGATAGTTAAAGTATCTATTCACGAAGAAAACATGAAGTACGGGTAAGGCTAAACAGACTAGGTACCTACACTAAATAAGATAATTCCTAACGGTCAAGGATCAAACAGTTGCGTAAAGTGATGACAACGGTTTTAGTAAAGTAGACGTTTATCCTTAAAAGAGTAAACAGAGAAAAAGGAGACGAGACATCAGGTGACACATAAAGAGGAGAATTGTAAAGAATAACAAGCGAATATGAAGAATAAGGAGCTAAAAATAAAATTGCCATTGCTATAAAAGAACATTCTCTTGAAGATTTAGAATATGTACGTTAATCTTCTGACCATAAGAGCTGAGAATATCTAGAATTCATCTGCAACCAGTTGCACTGCAACTCATTTGCATTTTTTGACAGAAATTAACTAATTTTAACATATGCTTACGGCGTATTGATTAACGCGTCGTTTATAATAAAATTTAATCCCAAAGTTTAATGAAATGCACTGATTTATGGCACATATGTAGTCAATGACATCATGTGTTAAGAGTCTACAGAAAGGGTTCAAAAATAACAGTTTCGCGTTGTGGCTATTGTTTCTAATGACCAGCATTTTAAGATACCCTCACAAAACCTCGATCAACGAAATCACGCTGAACGCAACATGAGCCGAGGCCTAAACCCATAATTTTAGTCTGTTTATGATTATAATTTATGAATCAGCAGAGCAGCCCAGCCATAAAAAATAGCTAGTTGAAAAAACGCGGCAGTTATTAGTGATTTTACCATCTCACTATAAGTTTAAACACAACAATAGACAAGTATACAATACAAGGTCCATGACCAGGGGATGAACGCATGACTTGGAACAGGTGATCGACTGACAATTTTGATGTACACAACAGTAGAGCGAATTGATTTTTGGTAGGTCGATCACGTGATCTCTATTCATAATGACTATAATTTACTTAACCTAATTTACAGGTTTCACGTTGCATCGACGAACGTCAACTGCAGGTTAAAAACACAGTCAGACCCAGATTCAACATTATATTTTTCGCCTTACCCAATAACATGCTAACTTGCCATAATGGACATTCG